CGCACTGCTGTTGTGCAAGCGCAGTACGCACTGCTGTTGTGCAAGCGTAGTATGCACTGCTGTTGCTGAGCCATCTCTCTAGTCCCTCACCCTAAACACTAATACGTCTATCTTTTTCCTCTGACTCTCCTGGAACTCACTCTGTAGACCAGGTTGGTCTTGAGCTCACAGAGGTCCTCCTGCCTCTGCCTTCCAAGTGCTGGGATTAAAGGCGTGCGCCACCACCTCCTGACTGATTGAGTCTTTCTTAATTGTTCATTTCTTGTTCTCTCTTGACTTTCATTTTGGCCATGTTTGTATATTTATTTTTCCCTCAAATTTCTTAGACTGTTTTTGGGCAAGAGAGTACGTGGAAAGTAATGAATAGAAGTTTGATTCTTCTCCTGAGGAGGATTAAGGAGAAAAAAGTGAGCTGGGTTGCCACCCTTACCTTGACTCACAGTCTCTTGCAGGAAGAACACTTTCCTTCTCTGTGTGGGGTTGAGTTCTGTTATGTCTATGTAAGGCTATGTGGTTCTGTGCCAAAATCTGAATTCTGAATGAAGGAGGAAGTTCTTATAAACGAATGACCAGAGCCACTGTTTGCTTTGCAGGTCCCACGGGTCATCCTGTGGTTGATGGTGGAGTTGGCGATCATTGGTTCTGATATGCAGGAAGTCATTGGCTCAGCCATCGCCATCAATCTCCTGTCGGCAGGAAGGTGGGGGCTTCCCTCTAGATCATTGTCAGTATTGAGCTGGATTCCAAAGACAGGGTGAAAATGAGCCAGCTCATTCCGGAGCATTCCGGAGCCGCCTTCATCTTTCCCAGTGGACATAGTCCCTGTCACTCCCATTCCCATGATGTGCACACTTGTATTTAAATCGATTGTGTGGGGTTTTGTACAATTACTCCTTTGTAAGGGGAGGGCTACTTATCTGATTGCACCTGACCCACGCTTGGTGTGTCCTACACATCTGACACAGTAAGCTCCCAGGGAGGCTGTCAGTGGATGGCCTTTAGCTGATGGTGTTTCTCAAGCTTGGTTTCCTGCCACTGTTGCTTTTCCCCAGGCCCTAGCCTCCCCCGTGTTCTGTGTTGGACAAGCTGTGAAGAAAGTGCCTTCCCTGGGTCTTCAGTCTCTGTTTCTCTTCTCTAACCTAGGATTCCCCTGTGGGGAGGAGTTCTCATCACCATTGCAGACACTTTTGTCTTTCTCTTTTTGGACAAATATGGTAAGGAGGGTGGAACTGGTGGGCGAATCAAAGCCGCCTGCTTCAGGCACGTGGTTACAGGGAAGTCTGTCTTCTCTGTGCTCACTGTGTGTTTCCCCCTTAGGGTTGCGGAAGCTGGAAGCATTTTTTGGCTTTCTCATCACTATTATGGCCCTCACATTTGGATATGAGGCAAGTGTTACAGGCTGTTGGTTAACTATTTAAAACAAAGTTTCATTTTGTTTGTTTGTAGTCTTTTATTATAAAAAGCAATAATAGTGCCAGAATAGAATAGTTTAACTGTATTGGGTCAACAAAAAGCCACTGTACTTCTGGGCTGTTGTTGAAAAAATATAGTCTGTGGCAAGGATTCATGTGCAGGAAAGCCTGTAGAAATTTTCTTTGAATCAAAAGTGGCTAGACCTTTCAGGACCAACATTTTTGGTCCCAAATTAGCTACCCTGACAGCAGGACAGTTTTAGGGTGGGACAGACAGAGGCTTATGTTGACTGTTAACTCAAAGCAGTTCTGTTTGTGCTCATCGTGACTGAAATTAATTAACCACAGCTTGACTATTTCCTGTATTAGACCAGCTGATGGTAGTAGTGAACGTGTGCGGTGGTGCATGCCTGAAATACTAGCAACTAAACAGAGGCAGACTGGTCTCTGTGAGTTTGAGTCCAACTTGGTATACTTAGAGAATTCCAGACCAGCCAGGACTGTAGAGTGAGACAAAAAACTGTTGATGAGTAATAGGTGATTGATTATTTTCCTGGTTGTTGCTTGCCCACCGCTAGGGATCAGTACCACTATGTTTACCTTTTCTGTTCAGTTATAAACAGATTTCTTCTTACAGGCCTGCCTAAATATTAAAAGATACCTAGTCTATGAGTAGGTTTTTCAGGTTGTCCCAAGGCTTGCAAGAGAAATCCTAAGCCAGGAGAAAGTTTGGGTGGGCAGTGTTAAGGAATGACCCACTCCCAGCACACGGGTGACAAGCAGAGGAGGTTCTTAGATGAGCAGGTGAACAGCAGTGTGTAGAGCGTGGGTTTAAGAACAGAACTGTTCTTGGATCTGTATCAGCAGTTACAGAGACACAAATACCAGCAAGACCTTTAGTCAGTTTGTTTCCTCAGAACACCGTGTTCTCTACATATCTGCATTGTACATTCAGAATATTTAGTCCTGAGTCCTGGCCCCTGGCAGCAAGCCCCATTATTAGTTATCTTTGGTAGCTGTAACTAAAATACTTGAGGAAAGTAACAGGAGATGAAGGGTCTACTTACCTGGGGCTTCAGAGGGCTCGGGCTGCCTGCAGTTCCTTGGGCAGAACACCCTGGCGGCAGATGTGCTGTTGAAGGTTCTATCTCAGTGCAGACAGAAGCACGGAGGTTCAGGACATGGCTAGGTCCAGGAGGACTGCCTGCATTCATCTACTTCTTCCAGGGAGGCTCCACCTGCCAAAATTTCTACCACATCCCCAAATTGTACGAGCACGATGGGGCTTGAGTTGGTCATGAGCCTGCGGCAGTTTCTGTTCCGACCACAGCAGCCCTTTGTCGCCGTTCATTGCTGATGCTGTCCTTAAACTCAGGGCCTTGTGCATACTAAGCGCGTACGTGTTCATGATTCCATACTCCTATTCCAGGCAGTTGTTACAGAGGGTAAAGGAGTGAAGGATGCCAGTGTCCCTAGTGCTGTTCTTCCCCTTCCATGTTGCGGTAAAGGCTAATAGGTGTTGTGTTGCTGTGTAGTATATTACAGTGAAGCCCAGCCAGAGCCAAGTGCTCAGGGGCATGTTCGTGCCGTCCTGTTCAGGCTGCAGCACTCCACAGATTGAGCAGGCTGTGGGCATCGTGGGAGCTGTCATCATGCCACACAACATGTACCTGCATTCTGCCTTAGTCAAGGTGAGCAGTGCCCTTCCGTATTCTTAGTTTCTGACTGCTAGAGCTCTGGAGGAGCTGTGCTCCACAGGAGCGCCGTATTTCTAAGGCTGGCGGGACTGTGTTTATCACCAGATTGACCAGGAAAAGTGATCCTCAAATTCCAGGCTAGTGTTCTTCATAAAAGGTCTGGAAGTCTTGAGGTCCAGAAGTAAGGAGGGCTTTCCCAGTAAGTCAGGCGTTGCTTGGCCAAGATAGGTCAGACACTTGACAACTAGTCCACTAGACTTAGAACTGAGATAGTCTCTGGGAGCTCAGCCTGGGTGCTGGCTGCCCATTTGGGGGTTGTGCACTGTTGTCAAAGGTGTGGAGTTCTTTGTACTTAGTGAGCTAAGATCTGTTTCATTTAGCCAGTTGTTTGCCCTCTTAATCTTTCAGCTGACTCCAAAGTTCTGAGTTGTTACAAAGAAACTTTCTGCAACTCCTGGAAAAATGACTGCTGCCTTTATCTCTCTAGTCTAGACAGGTAAACCGGGCCGATAAGCGGGAAGTCCGGGAAGCCAACAAGTACTTCTTCATTGAGTCCTGCATTGCGCTCTTTGTTTCCTTCATCATCAATGTCTTTGTCGTCTCGGTCTTTGCTGAAGCATTTTTTGGGAAAACCAACAATCAGGTGGTGAGTAAGCCAGGGTTGTGGGTGGTGAAGGCCAGGTGAACTGCATGCCTGAATGGGGACAGAAAAGAACCCAAGGAGACTTATCTGAAGTCTAGGTGCCCCTCCTATTCCTCCAGTCTACACACCAGCCAGTCTATGGTGTGGGGCTAGGAAGCCTGGTCCCACCCATTCCCGGGTGAACTGGAAGAGCTGGCCTTGGACTCACAGTTGCCTCCTGCTGTCATAGAGGTGTAGCATTTTGGCTGTTTGGCCATTGTTATTTCTGTTTCCTTTTTATTAACTGCTGCCTGCCTGTCTGCTAGTCTTGATGGTTGTGCTGAGGAAAGGTCAGGAGGAGTCAGCAGAAAGGACGCATGCTCTGACAGGGCAGGCCTTGACTGACAGGGCGGAGCTTAGCACATTTTGAATTCTCTCCCATCCATTTTGTTTGGTTGTTTTTTTTATTTGAGGTTTTTTGTTTATTGTTGAGTGTTTTAAGATGCCAGGATTGAACTCAGGACCATGTATGCGATGCTAAGCAAGTGTTCCACCACGGAGCTGCTTGCCCGCATTGCTGTCTAGTTTTGTTCATCATTTGTGTCTACAGGAGTGACCCTGGCTCTGCTTTGACCGAGGTCCTCTGGGTGCTGCTGTCCTCTCACATTTGAAGTCTTCTGATTTGTTTTCCTTTTTTTTTTGTTTTGTTTTGGGTTTTGACTTTTGATAAAAGGGCTTCATTGTGTAGTCCTGGGTCGAGGCTTGAAACTCTGTAGACCAGGCACCTGCCTCTGCCTCCCAAGTACTAGGATTAAAGGCTTGCATCACCGTGCTCTTCATTTAATCTAGGTTTTGGTTTGGGTTTATTTATTTATTTTTGGATGAGTTCTACTTGTGCAGCCCAGTCTGGCCTCAAGTTTGGGATTCTTCTAGCTCAGCTCCCTGAAGGCTGCCCTCTAAGCGGGAAGCCCTTTGAAAGAGTTTCTCTTTCCTTACTTGCCCTGCAAACTCTGTCTCAGTAAACACTGTGGTGCTGGAGGGAATAACAGGCCTGGGGAGGGCTGCAGGTAGAGGCACAGCTGTCAACCCCCTGGAGTGCCTCCTCTCTTATCTCCTGCAAAGGAATTTGGTGAGACAAACTGGGGAGTTCTTATCTGGCCCTCATTTCTGAAACTGCTTTGGGCTTTAGATTGACGTCTGTAGGAATAGCAGCAGCCCCCATACTGGCCTCTTTCCTAATGACAACTCAACTCTGGCTGTGGACATCTACAAAGGGGTAAGCACACTGATTTGCAGTCTCTGCTTTGGGGTAAGTGTTTGCATATCCTCTTTGAGAGTTCATTTCAGATTTGAGCATAATTCCTCTGAGTATCTTTTATTTCTGAGACCCTAGGCCAGGTGCACATTTGGGGTTTTGCGGGGTAGGTTAGCAACTCCTAAACTCAGGAGGACATCTTAAAGTGTGCAGACAGTGACTGCAGTGACAGGTGAATTAGTGAGGTGTTCATTCCTGGGTCCTTTTGGGCCCATCATGTTGGTTCCATTGTGATCCCCAAGAACATAATATGTACCCTACATTCCCCACATGATTCACTGTCTTAGCTGCTCCTGCCATTTTTCACGAGAATACATTAAGGAGCAGGCTTTGGGAAGTGCAGGGTTCTGTCTCTTTAGTATTTAAGGTTAGAGATGAAGGAGCATGTGGAAGAGGGATGAAGGGATGCCCAGCAGTCAGGTGGAGCCTCTGGGTCACACCAACACCGAGTCTCACTGTCTAGCAGTGCCCGGTGCAGCACTTGATGTGCTGTCATTTCACGAGGAGAGGGAGGTGCTGCAGAGGGCCGCTGTTCCGGGTGTCATCTAAGCACTCACACGCTCCTATCTCTCTCCCTGTCCCAGGGTGTTGTGCTTGGATGTTATTTTGGGCCTGCGGCTCTCTACATCTGGGCAGTGGGGATCCTGGCTGCAGGACAGAGCTCCACCATGACAGGAACCTATTCCGGCCAATTTGTTATGGAGGTGTGTGCTGGGGTTGAATACAGGGGATGGCACAGCGCTTGAGTGTCTAACTCCACGGTTTACAGGTTTCCCTGACTTCCCCAGGCATTTCTCTCTCCTGTCACTTGTGGTCACCAGCCCCCATGCCTTCTTCCAGGGATTCCTGAACCTAAGATGGTCACGTTTTGCCCGAGTGATCCTGACACGCTCTATTGCTATCATCCCCACTCTCCTTGTTGCTGTCTTCCAAGATGTAGAGCATCTAACAGGGATGAATGACTTCCTGAATGTTCTGCAGAGCTTACAGGTGAGCAGGCAGCTGGGGAAGCTCATGCTGGAGGCTGGGTACTAGGGGTGAGTGAGAGGAAGGAAAGGCATGGAAGTTCATTAAATGGAAGTAATGAGCTCTGCTTAATATATAAAACACAAATTTGAGGCCACCAAGATGGCTCAGTGGATACAGTGCTAGCTGTGCCATTGTACAAGTGTAAATTCCTAAATTTGATCCCCTGAAGACATGGGAAGAGGAAAGAACTGTCTCCAAAAGTTGTCCTCTGATCTCCTGTTGCGAGCCCTATTCCTGAGCGGGCCTTCTGCCCTTACTTCGAGGTCTGCGGGTAAATACTCAGGATGACCACAGTCTTTGTTCTAGGAACAAGTTTATTATGCCAATAGTCAAATCTCCAATTGTTACTATAGCAGATATAAGCAAACATCAAAAACTATAACAATCCTTAGCCAATCAATCACATCACACATTCAATCACATTGAATTCACATTCAGCAAGGATTCCTATGTCCTAGGCAAGGTCTTCTACCCTATCTTACTGAGGCATTGGTGTATAGGACCTGATAATGGTTCGTGGCTCTCGACATAGACCTCTGGATCAGCAAGTCTTGATCCGCCGGCAAGAGCGAGTTCTCTGGCTCTTGGAAGATCTCAGCTGTCAAGTTGCTGGTTCGTTGGATTCTCTGTGACTGCTTCTGACAGCGTGTCTAGCCAGTCATTTTGAGAATGTCTTCTGGCCGTGAGCCTCAAGTTTTTACACTGTTTCTGGCTGCCTTTCCTCCTTACTTCTAGATTAGCACACATGTCTGCTTATCATATAGTTACGTCACACTTGTTCATTCGACTCAAACTCTTATCATCACTGCACACATTGCTTCATACTTTTTAGTTTCATTTTGTGTGTCACTTAATATTGCCTCTTAATACTCCTGGACTTGTTTGTCCTTACAGACTCATAACATCTCCATATTCACCCGCAACATGGGCATGTCTGTCTGTCAGTCCGTCTATCCTCTCTTTCCTTACTCAGTCTCTGTCTGTCTTTCTCACACACAAATAAATAAGTAACTTAGTAATACATAAAAATGCACAGCACTGTAGCTCGTTAATGCAGCAAGGGTAAATCATTAAGTGATTCCTGAGGGCACCACTACCTCCTGGGGAGGTTACAAGGCAAGTCACATCCAATATGTTATTTATTTATTTAAGATTATGTATTTTTATTTACATGTGTCAGTGTTTTACCTTTGTGTATGTATGAGCACCGTGTGTGTGCCTGGAACCTGCAGAGTTCAGAAGAGGGCATCAGATCCCCTAGCACTGGAGTTGCAGACAGTTGTGAGCTGCCATGCAGCTGCTGGGAATCGAACCTGGATCCTCTGCAAGAGCAGTTCACAAAGTGTTCTTAACCACTGAGCCATCTGTCTGGCCCCCAATGCATTGTCTTTTGTGTTTAAACAAAGGCACTTAGGATCATGATTAGTGCTGGGTTAAAAATAATGTTTGGCAAAGGCAAGATGATAGGAACAGCTATTACCATGGCACAGATGAGATATGGTTTATGACTCCTGTCTGTGAGCAGTGCTGGTGTCTTGTGGTGCAGTAACCATGATTGATGTGGAGGGAGAGAGCACACCAGAGCCAGGCCAGTGCCAATAAGCAGCATTCCTCTGAAGTGTCTGGTCAGGTCCTGCCCTGACTCTCTTGGTGATAGACTGTGACCTGAAAGTATAAGCCAGATAACCCCCAACCCCCTCCCCACATTGCTTCTCATCAGTGTTTAGTCACAGCGTTAGAGATGAAACTCATGCACCCACGTAATTCCTTCTGGTTTTTCAGCTTCCTTTTGCTCTCATACCCATCCTCACCTTTACCAGCCTGCGGCCAGTGATGAATGAGTTCTCCAATGGAATGTGAGTACACTTGTCACCCTCCCCAGGAGGAAACGGGAGGTGACTTTTTACCCAGCAGGCCAGTCAGAAATGTCTTCTCTAGGGGAGCTGTGTGTTCCTAGCTGCTTCCTCTCGGGTCGTGAAGACCCTGGCATGGGTGAGCTACAGTACGGAGGAGAGCTGCTCCAGACCTTCCTGTCCTAGCTCTCCACCCTCTGCTGCTGAGGTTTCAATTCTGTGCACTCCGGTAATACATTCAGTGTACACCTTGAAGGGATATGTGGGGTGTGTTCTAGTTTCATTTCTGCTGCTTCGACAGATACCATGCCAACAAGCAGCAAAGGGGTGGAAATGTTTATTTGGCTTACAATTCCAAATTACTGTCCATTATTCTGGAAGAAGTCAAGGTAGAACTTAGTCTTATCACAGGCACTGTCAGGAACAAGGGGTAAACACATCCTTGCCTGCATGTTTGCCCTAAGCTTGCTTCTTCTTATACTGTTGAGGATGCACTGGGTGGGTAATGGTGCCACCCTGAGTGGGCTGGTTGTTCTGCATCATCCCTACAGATGCACCCACAAGCCAGCCTGGTATAGGTAATTTCCCTTTGAGACTATCTTTCCACGTGGTTCTTGGCTGTGTCAAGTTGGCAGCTAAAACCAGTCAGTGCAGGTGCTCATGTAACCCGTTAGGGTCCCAGGGTCTCTAATTGTCACCACTCTAGAGGTGGTGGGACCTGGGAGAGTGGAGCTGATAAATGAGGCGGACTGAAGTCTCCTGCAATAGCCAACTTTCTTCAGAGCCTCGGACAGTTTATACTCTGAGGGCTAAGATGCGTGTCAAGTTCTCTGAGTTCAAGCTGTGTACCCGGGACTGGCAGCATGCGGCAAGAACTTGGTTTCCTATAGAGGCCTGTACAGGAGAGCTTAAACATTTAATTGAATAACAACAGCAAGCAATAATGAGTAACGTGAAGGCAACTCACTCCTGTCCACTGCACCTGGGTGACAGGCAGAACGACACAGAACACATTCCAAGAACAGTGCCATGTTTTTGGAGAAATTGAGGTCACAAGACTCTAATCTTGACTCCATTCCTGGACCATGTTCTGATATCTAATGAAATGGCTCTGCCTTTCCAGGACCTGCTGATTTCTGGGGTCTTAAATGCTAGATTTCTGTGCCAGAGAGATGATAGGTCAGTGGGTAAATATGCTTGCCCCACAAGCCTGACAACCTGAGTCTGATCCCTGGGACTTATATGAAGGATGAAGGAGAAAAATAAATAACTCTACAGATGTGATCTTCTGACCTTCATATGCATGTTATAGCATGTGTGCCCACACATGTACTCATCATTCATACGCATACGTTAATAGTAGATAGTTAAATACTAGGTTCAAATTACTCCAGCCCTTCCCCCTTCTGCTCAATCACTCATTTTGACCCTCTTACATTTTTCTCAACCTGTGTCCCATTTACCACATGAGACATAGGTTTCTTTTCTGTCTGTGGCCTGGTTGGACTATTGCACACTTATGCATCCCTTCTTTCACAGAGGCTGGAGGATCGCTGGTGGAATTTTGGTCCTTATCGTCTGCTCCATCAACATGTACTTTGTAGTGGTTTATGTCCAGGACCTAGGGCACTTGGCACTGTATGTGGTGGCTGCGGTGATCAGCGTGGCTTACTTGAGCTTTGTGTTCTACCTGGTGAGTCCATTGTGAAGGGAGCGGGGCACTGGTATCAGGGTGCATAGGTGGGGCTAGCTGCCTTTTAGAGACGAATGATCCTCAAAGCAGTCTACTGAGGCAGTTCACGTGGCTTTGTCAAATCAGCTGTTTCTAAAATTCTTTCTTTTCTGTTGCTTTTGGTATTGGAGATTAAATGCCATGACGAGCAGCATCCTAATGTTGCACTCTATTCTCAACAAGATGTTTATATTTTGAATCGTCCAATATATTTAAGTTTTTTTTTTTGAGGAGGAGGTGTTTCTTGAGACAGGATTTCTCTGTGTAACAGCCCTGGCTCCCCTGGACCTTACTTTGTAGACCAGGCTGGCCTCAAACTAATAATGATTTTCAATTATTTCATCCTATATAAAACTTTGAATTATAGAGATCTGCCTACCTCTGCCTCCCAAGTGCTGGGATTAAAGGTGTGTGCCACCATGCCTGGCTTATTTTAGTCGTTAATACCTAGTATTTTTCTATTTCCGTTGATTTTATAAGGATCCAATATTTAATTCCTAAAAAGAATGTATGTATGGTATGTTTGAGAAACAAAATGTCTCAGTAGTTGCACAGCAAGCTTAAGGACCTGAGTTCAAATCCTCAGGACCCATGTTAAAGGACGGGCATGGGGTTGTGTGAGCCTGTAATCCCAGCACTGGAGGAAGGGAGGCAGCAATAGGAGAGTCATCGAGGCTTGCCAGCCTAGCTACAGATTCAGCAAGACTCCTTGTCACAAAGGAATAAGTGACAGAACAGGAAACATGGTGACTTCCAATGACCTCTGCAAGTGCATGCCCCCTGCACACATACAGAGGGCAAATATAGATGTATTCTCTAGTCCCCAATCTTTCTCACTGCTTTTTTTTGTTTGTTTGATTGGTTTTTTTTTTTTTTGGTTTTTTTTTTTTTCCGAGACAGGTTTCTTTGTAGCTTTGGAGCCTGTCCTGGAACTCACTCTGTAGACCAGGCTGGACTTGAACTCACAGAGACCCGCCTGCCTCTGCCTCCTGAGTGCTGGGATTAAAGGCGTGCGCCACCACCGCCCGGCTTCTCCCTACTTTTACTAGTGGAAAATCCATAGCAATAAGAACAGACTGGATTATCTGTTTAACACAGAGTTCATACTGAGGTTGAGGATAAGAAGCAGCAGTGTTGAAGATGGAGGCTAGAGCCCTGCTGTTCTCTCTCATGCATTTCACTCCATGCGTGCCATGTCTTCCACAGGTTAGAATCTTTTAGAGAAAAGCTTCGGTGCGTAGTTTAATATGTGCCCTGGGTCAGTGAATCTTTTCCGTTTCCAATAAACCTTGGGCATCTAAGGTTATACTTCACCATAGGACTTTGGAAACCAGATAACTGCATGTGTCCTTGGCAGGAATTGTTTTAAAATCCTCTTTAAAAAAAATCGAGACTGGAGAGATGGCTCAGAAAGGTCCTGAGTTCAATTCCTGGCAACCACATGGTGGCTCACAACCATCTGTAATGGGGTCTAGTGCCCTCTTCTGGCCTGCAGGCATACATGCAGGCCAAATATGGTATACATAATAAATAAATTTTTAAAAAAATCGACCAGCTGTTCCTTCATGCAAATTGAGTGTGTTAACTCAGTACCCTAAGACTAGTGAGATTATCTGAGCCCCAAATTTGGAGGTAGGGCAGATTTTACATCTTGATTACTGCTGCTTCGCTCAAAACCAGGAGCTTCACAGAGGAGCTGTCTCCCTGCCAGTCTGTAGCCTCTCCGTGTCCTTGGGAAACCAATGAGAAATGGCTACTGGAGAGTTCCCCTGAGCGAAACTAGTCATAAACACAAAGCCTACGAACAAAGAGAGTGCAGTTTTGGAAAACCTTGGAGGGCAAAGCAGAAGAGGGGCTGAGAGCCTGACTTGGTCCTTGGTGGAAAGAAATGGATGAAGCTGGATGTTTGGGACAGGAAGCAGGTGTGTCCCTGCAGAGCATGGCTGTGCTGTCTTGGTGGGCGAGTGACAATCATGTTTTCTCTTCCAGGGTTGGCAATGTTTGATTGCCTTGGGCCTTTCTTTCCTGGACTGTGGTCACACGGTAAGCATCTCTAAGGTCCTGCTGAGCGAAGACACCAACGGTGGCAACAATACTAAGTAAACACTGGGTCAGTCTGTCTGTCGGTGCAGGAGCCATCAGAGCCAGTGTGTTTCTATGGTTCACTGTGTGAACATAGCCACAAGTATGTGCTGTTGCACACACTTCATTTAGGACTCAACGAGTAGTTGGGAAATACTTTGTTTCTTGTGTGTTGAGGTCTTTGTTTTGTTTTTGTGAAATAGGATATTGCTATGAAACACTAGGTAGCCTAAACTCACTGTGTAGCCCAGGCTGCCCTCAAACTCACGACAATCCTGTCTCATACCCCTGAGCACTGAGATTATGGGCATGCACTACCGTGCCTGGTTTTTCCCATGTGTGCTTACAAGGTGATTATTTTTGAAGGGGTGAGTCTCACCCTGTAGCATTGACAGCCCCTAGAGAAAGTGACCCTTGAGCTGCTTTAAACACTAAGTCCCTAGGTAGCTGTCCAAGGGCGAATAGCATTTTATGTTCTTAAAACTTTATGAATTAGGGATATAGTAAACTGAAATTATGTTTCCATTGGGTGATTAAGGATATAGTAGCTCCAGGCACGCAAATTTTTATCAAAGGATAATGGATATTTAAGGCTGAAAAATACTTTTATGCTCCCTTTCAAATATTTTTTATTATAAAAAACCCAACTAGAGTGATATGCCATCCATTTGAACTACAAAATTAGAGACAACTACCATCTCTGAGTTCAGGATTTGTTTACTTGTTTGTTGGATTGCTTTCCAAGATAGGATTTCTCTGTGTAGCCCTGGCAGTCCTGGAACTTGTTCTGTAGACGAAGCTGGTCTCAAACTCAGAGATCTACCTGCCTCTGCCTCCCAAGTGCTGGGACTAAAGGCGTGCACCACCACTGCCCCTCTGTGTTCATGATTTTTTATTTCTACTTTTAATTTCTCAGTGGAAGAAGGGTAGGAAGCATAAAAGATGAGTGCGGACAGATGGTCCACCTGCAGGGGCTTGCTCATTACCTACAGAAGCTGTCCTTAGCATGCAAGCTTAGTGGGGCTTCATCTTTGGCTCCGAGGGTTCCTGGCAGTGTCTGGTCTTGGGTGCGCACAGTCACAGAGCCTTTGCCTTCCTCCCCTAAGAGAGTGGTGATAGCAGGAGAATGTAGTGTTTGGGAACTGGCATTCTCGTGGGCCTGGACTTGGAGTGGGTCAGAGAGCTAACTGCGCTATTCCCGGAAGTCACCTTTCACCAAATCGTGTCTCTGACCCGCCACTGTTTCATATCCAAGATGACGCGGGACCTAAGCTTTGCAAAGTCAGTAGGTGTCCTGTCACTGTGCTGGTGAAGTTCCTCCCTGCACTCTGGACTAATGCCTCAGAGAGAAAGCCTGTTGAGACCTGAAGGCGAAGCTCTGGAGTCTTCAGCTTGCGACTGCTGCTCTCGCCTCAGCCACTTCTGACATGCTTACATGGGAGCCTGAGACCGATTCTGTCAAACCCTGTCTGTTTGGAGGATCTGAATAAGCAAGTCGTGGGTAGTCATTGTCTTGGTGGCAGCAGGAATGAGAGTGGCCTTGAAGGACGTCCTTGACTCTGAAGCTTTCCTTCTAGCAAGCTGGCTGCAGATGATCTAGGCTCGGCTGTGCCGGCCGCATTATTATTGGCACTACTAGCAGTGGTTCTCAACCTCTGGGTTGAGTTTGGCAAATCTCTGTCTCCCAAAAAATATTTTAATTATGATTCATAATAGTAGTAAAATTACAGTTATGAAGTAGCAATGAAATAATTTTATGGTTGGGGGTCACCACAGCATGAGGAGCTGTATTAAATGGTCATTGCATCAGGAAGTTTGAGAACCATTGTCCTACAGGGTCCTTCTCATACCTGCCCCTTCTATCACCATTGTTCCCAAAACTTACCTGAATGGTGCCTGAAGATGCTGGAGACTGACCTTTGAACCTTTGTCTTGCTGTAGTATGTGAAGGCCAGATTGATGGCAACAGAGTTCCTTACAAAGCTGCTGTAGTAATGTTTACACTTCCTCAGGGCAGGGTGTCTCCAGAGTCACAAACACAGATAGTCCAGCCCACAGCTGCTGGGGTGGACCCAGGGGCCTTGTGCTTGCTAGGCAAGGCGTCTGCTATGGATCGTGCTTCCCTGCCCTAGAATTTGTCTGTTATATTTGTTTACAATGATAGACGTTTTCACTGTAGTTAGGTGTTCTTTTCTGATTCTATGCCTGCAATGTTTTACACTGTCATTTGGTGGTCACTGGGAATGTGTACTCAGTACCCTGTACAGAGAACAGTGTGTCAAAGTTTCTAGCCCTCCATGCCAGTGTTGTTCTGGCCGTGTATTTGTGAGCCATCTTTGTACTTTCTCTAAGTTGGTACTTGTTCTCCTGTGACATGAAATAATTGTACGATTCAGTGCACTGGGAGTTGACAGGCTGGGTGTAGCTCCAGCATGGCTTGTGAGATCTTGACAGGGCCGTAGGAAGTGGCTACTATGAGGCTTTTAGTGAACCTTCACAGCGTGTAAACTTGATTTGTAATTAAAAAACAAAACAAAACAAAAAAACAAAAGAAAAACTCTCCTTTTTCCTGTTTGCTTTCCTGGCTAATTTTGTAACCTCGAAAACACTTTATTAATAGGGTCTCAGCAGCTTTGATCGAGAAGCACATACATGTCAGTTGCTAAGAGAGACACACTAAGCCCCCGCAGCGCCAGTGCTTGCCTCCTAACAGACAAGTCCCCAGAAGGCTGGGTTAGTCGTGGACACCAAGATTGTAATTTCACTTTGGGGCTGAGAGATGGCTTCTAAAGTGTAGATGCCAACAAACTTCACAACTGGAGTTAGATGCCCGGGACCCACATGTTGGAAGGCGAGAAACAACTGTTTGTTTGTTTGTTTGTTTGTTTGTTTGTTTGTTTTTCAAGATAGGGTTTCTCTGTAGCTTTGGAGCCTGTCCTGGAACTAGCTCTTGTCGACCAGGCTGGCCTCAAACTCACAAAGATCTGCCTGTCTCTGCCTCCCAAGTGCTGGGATTAAAGGCGTGTGCCACCACCGCCCTGCAAGAACCAACTCTTGAAAGTGGTCCCTGATCTGCACGTGTGCTCCGTGGTCCCTGATCTCCACGTGTGCTCCGTGGTCCCCGACTTCCACGTGTGCTCCGTGGTCCCTGACCTCCACGTGTGCTCCATAGTCCCTGACCTCCACGTGTACTCCGTGGCACGTCTATAGTTGTCCCCATATACATACACAACAAATAAATACCAAATTAAAATTTTTTCTGATGAAATGAAAATCAATTTCAATTTATCACTCAGTTAAATACCCTTGTTGGGCTTAAGGCTATAACTTTACTATTCTGCAAGATGGGATTTTCCTGCCTTTCTTTAACTTGAAGGTTTACCTGTCTGTAGTCTTGTCTCATCATCCAGGAAGGATCTTACAATATGTATTTGCTGCCAAAAAAAGTAGTAAAAATTGAATGAGAGAAACAGTCACCTAGCTTAAACCCAGGTGCACATTTTGGCAGACCTGATGTAAATGCTGACCCTGGCATCGTTGCCCTTTGTAAGCAGAGGTGAAACTCAGGTGTGAGGAGCTAGCAGCATTGTCACCAGGCGTGGTGGGGAGTATGTCCTTACCTGACCATCCCAAGACAGCAGGCAAGCTTCAGTTCCTCTTGTGGAAGCTT